TTGTTCTAATTACATATGAAATCAATTAATTTTTATTAATTATTAATTAGTAAAAATTAATTAACTTTATATATAATTAGAATAAGTTGCTGGTAAAAAATCTGAAAATTCTGAAAAAAATATATGTTAAACTAGAGAACTTTAGCTATTTTTAAGATAAAAATAAAAAATATTTGTTAGTAAAATTAAAAACTTTTAAAATTATGCATTTTACTAATTATAATTAGTAAAAAATTTAAGTGTTTTATTACTTTTGATGGCTATTATATTTATTATTATAAATTTTAATATCTTATTAAATAATTAAATTATTTTTTTTATAATATTATCTAAAAATCTTTTGAAAATTATCATAAAAAAATAAATATATTTAAAATATATATACTTAAATATAATAAGAATATTAAAAAATATATAATAAATTTTAACTAAATAATATAATCAAATCTCTTTATAATTATATTTCTCTATAATTATTTTTTTTATAATTATCTTTTTTGAGTTTTTCAGCTACTAATTAATTATAATTAAAAAATCTCTATAATTACATCTCTTTTTAGTTATCTAATTTTGCTTTTCCAAGTGTGATAACTATAAAAAGATTTGACTATATTTCTTTTAGTTTAGATCTTTGTTTTATGTTTTTATATTATATTATAGATTAATTTTATATTAAATATATAAATAAATTAAATTAATTATATTATTATATTAATAATTATTATATATTTTATAATTATTAATTTAGATAATTACTGTTTTTCTTAATATTCTTTTATATATTGCTTTTATTTTCTTATTCATTCTTCATTATTATTATTTATATTATTATATTATATTTATACTTATTGGATTAAGTATAATATATACACTCTCAAAAACATATTAATAAGCTTGATTATTTTTTTAATTATTTAATATTTTAATTTCTTTTATTTGACTAACAGTAACACGCGGGCAAATCGAATTATAAAATTCTCACAATCCTATCTTAATAAGCCAAATTTTACTACACCTCGTGAATTATTTGGTATGGGAAAATATGCTGAGGATAGTTGGCGTTTATTTTGTGGTGAACGAGATGACGCATGGAAAGTGAACAGTGGATTCGAACCAGAAGATAAAGTCATAAGAATGTATATAAATTGGCGGCGTCAAATGGATGAGTTGGGTTTTGGCAGGAGAAAAGAAAACATATGATTTATTGCTATTAAGAAGTGCAATTATTTTTATATTAGAGAAAATTAATTTAGTAATAGTCAATCATAATTTGCATTAAAAATATTATGAAGACACTGGAAAAACAATGAATACGATAATACAAAGTTTCGTAGATCATCAACCAACAATTAATAATATTTTTCCAGTAACCAATAAATTTTTGATCTACTTTTGAATAAATACTTTTGGTTTTATTATTCAAATAGTATTCAAGTTTAATGTTAAAGTATAGAATAGTGAGATGTATTTATATATAATTTAAAAATATGAACTAATAAATATGAATTATATATAATTAAATGTGAAGAAAGCTTATTAATATGTTTTTGAGAGTGTATATATTATACTTAATCCAATAAGTATAAATATAATATAATA